AATCCAGGCTGGGCAATATCAGAGCAAAAAAAAATAATGCACCATCAATCTGGTGGTTGTATTAGTCTACTATTGCTATAACAAAATACCTGAGGCTGGATAGTTTCTTTAGCTTATAGTTTTTGAAGCTGAAAATCCAAGATCAGGCAGCTCTTTCAGTTGAGCCTCTGGTCAGGGGCCCCATGGCTGTGTTACATCATATCAAAAGACAGAGCACATCTGAGAGAAAGAGATTACATGGAAAGACAGGTAGCCAGAGAGCAGAAAGGAGCCTGACTTGCTTTTTTAAGGCAACTCTCTCTGTTGGGCACTAACTAGGATTCCACATGAACTACCTCAATCCCTTCCAAAGTCAATGTCTTCCAGCGATCTAACAGCTTTGCACCAGGTTGCCCCCCTTGAAGGCCCCACCCATCTCTTAACATTACCACACAGAGGACTGAGCTGCTAACATAGGAAGCCTTGGGGGACAAACCATACCCAAATCCTACCAGTGGCACTTTTAATTCTTGACTCATTCCATCTGCCTGCCATTTCCTTTTCAGAGTTTTCAGATGACTGCTCCATGCCTTCTGTCTAGGAATCATAGTTTGAGGGATGGTGTTGAATGTACTTGCTCCATCTTGCTCAGATCAGAAGCTTTTGTTGATTACATTTTCCATTTAAGATATTGTATTTTCCCAGCTCTAGAGTTTTCATTTTTCCCCCCTTTTTCCCAAGCTTTTAATGACTCCCTTCATTGTGTTTGTTTTTTTGCTTTTTAAATTTTGTGTATATATATATATATATATATATATATATATATATATAGTAGTTGTTGTAAAGCCCGTGACTACTGATTCTATCATTTCTGTTTCTTACTGGGTTGTTACTGTTGATTTCTTTTGCTTTCCATTATGGGTTACATTTTCTCACCTTTTTATACATCTAATAATTCTTATTGAATACTGAACTTAAGAATATTATCCTGTAGAATATCTGAATTTTGTTGTGTTCCTGTTGAATAAGCAGTTTATTTTACAATGTTACCTGATAAATTGCCTCAGGCATTTAATTGGAGTTAAGTTTGGGATTGCATTTTTAGATAAATTTTTGTGAAAATGCCCTAAGATCCTGTTGAGAAGGTTGTGTTTTGTTTTGACACGCACTTAATTCTTTTGTGTATCACTTGAGCCTTTCAAGTCTTATTTTTAAACTTTGTTAAATCTAGCTAAGGTCATTTCTTTCTGCAGTCTCCATGAAACAAGGAGGACTTCCCACACTGTTCAGAACTCCCAGGCCTCTGAACTCTATGTGAGCTCTGCTGGGTGCACTGCCCACATTAGTATTCACACAAAGACTCAAGAGGACACCTATACAGACACAGAAACCTCTTTGTTTGCCTGGATTCTTCCTGTTTGCTTCTCTGCCCCCCAAAATTCCAGCTTCTTTGCCTGTCCTACCCCTAAACTCCAAACTCTGTCTCCTCAGCTCAGAGGGACCATGCTCTCTTCTGGATCCCTTCTTTGCACCAGGGTCCAGGAAATACCTGTAGCAAGAAGCCAGATAGATTGTAGGGCTCATGCTTTAAGCTTGTCTGAGGGATGAAGTTTCTGCACTGCCTGTTGTCCAATGTCTGCAAATTGTTGTTATATTTAGTTTATTTAATTTTAACTTGTTTGCAGCAGGAGGGCTAGTCTGCTGCCAATTGATCTGTCATGACTAGAAGTGAATATTTATTTTAATTAGAATTATTGAATTGTTTGCTTTGATGACATGTAGACAAAATATAAGCAGCTTATTTTAAAATGTTACCTGATAAATAGCCTCAGGCATTTAATTGGAGTTAAGTTTTGGATTGCATTTTTAGATAAATTTCTGTGAAAGAGCCCTAAGATCCAGCAAAGCTGTTGTTTTCATACTCTGAGAAATTATTCTAGAATAGTATTTGCAAAGGGAATTGAAGACAGACATGTACTTCATATTGTTATTTTGAAAGTAGTATTTATTAATCATTGAAAATTTAAAATATAATGGCAAGCTCCACAAAAAAGAATCACCCATAATCTCCATCATTTAGCAATTAATACTCCTTTATGTAGTGACTAAATATGTGTATTCCATTATGTATAGTTTTTAGAAAAATCAGCTCTCATGGTGTATTAGTCAGATTTTCATTGCTGTGACAAAACACCTAAGAAAAACAATTTAGAGGAAGAAAGATGTATTTTAGCTCATGGTTTCAAAGTTTTCAGTGATGGTCAGCTGGCTCCATTGCTTTGGGTGTGAGGTAAGGCAAAATATCAATGCAACAGGACATAGGGGAGGAAAGCTGATCACTTCCCAGCAGACAGGAAACAGGGAAATTGAGGAGGGGAGGGGAAGGAGAGCGGGGCCGGGACTGGGGGGCAAAACATAGTGCACACCTTCAAGAACCCAATCCCTGTAATTATGTTCCACCTCCTGTGGTTTCTACCTTCTCCCCATGGTCCATTCAACTATAAATCTATCAGTGGCTTTCATGATCCAAATAATTGCCCAAATCCCTACCTCTGCATAACAAGTCTTTAAAGCACAAGTCTTTGGGGGGATACTTCATATCCAAACTATAATGTATGACTTGTGCAACTATTATTTTTAAGTATCCCAAAAAAGGTGGCTTTGATGTAATAATTAGGAAGAAGCTTGTCAACAAAGCAAATCCACAAGCAAATTATTTTCTGCACCCACCTGAAGTAGGCTCATGGCTGCATCTGAGTGGTGGCTGAATGTATGAGTAGATGAGTTGACTAAGATGCTGAGAGCTGTGGTCACAGGGGATGTCAAGGGAGTGTCCTTTGTCTCCTCTGGGCATACAGAGGACGCACAGAAGGAATCAATCCATAATCATGCCAGCCCCTCCTCCATCCCAATTCCACCCCCACGAGGCAGGGTGGCAGACAGGGACATTTAGGAACCATCTGTCCTAATAGTTTCTAGAATATTTCTGGATTCACTTTTTTTTTTTTTGCAATAAGTTTATACTCATTTTTTTAAAAAATTATAATGTGAAACAGGTTCAAATAAGAGTCCAATTCAAGAACACCATATTGCACAGATAATTTTTCAAATGCCAAGTTATAGAAAGGATAATTGTACTAAGAAACTTTAGACAAAAGCTAATTGCAGTGAATTCGCTTAATTATTTAAACTTGACCTTCTTGGCAGTCAGGGCAAAAATGGGAAATAAAGAGTATTAAAAGTTCTTGCTATCTAACACAGTTCCTCAATTCCTTATCAGAAATCCCTGGGGGTGAATGTTTCTATGAATTCAGAACATTTGGAGTTTAGACCAGTGATTATGTACATATATTGTATACACTAAATAACAATTCAACAGGATTCAGGCCATTTCCAAACATGTGTACATTTCTGTGGTTGAAGTTGTAATATTCACATCAAGCCTTTAATCCTCAAATATGACCAGGTCAGGTTTTGCCACCAAATAGGTTTGCCATTAACTTACAGGAAAAGTCTTGGTTTTCAGAAATATTTAGATTTCGGCACTGTGCATTAGAGACTGTGGGCCCGCAATAGAAGCTGTTAATTAATCTCTAGAGAGAAAGAAATGTTTTCCTAGTTCAGAAATCTAATACCATGTGGACTTAAAAGATATTACACAACAAAACAAGCAGGTTCACCAAATGGATGTGTCCCCCCCACCACCACCAAAAAAAGTATTGTTGCAACAAATTCTACTGAATGCTATTGGATAGGCATCTAGCCTATCACCAGGATGTGGGGGAGGGCAAGGCACAGCCATGGAGAAGGGATAACCTCCACCTTCAGGCACCTAGAATGGGGCCGGGTGCCAATGTAAGGACAGAAGGTCAGAGGAGGCTTCACAGGGGGTGGGGTCAAGGTGAAACAAGTTTGGCTGCAAGTAACAAAGACAAGCTCATGTTGGATACCCCAGTGGGGACCTAGTAGAAAGTACAGAGGCAAGCGAGCACCATATGCCTGGCTCCAGGGCCTCTCTCTGGGCTTGGCCCTCCTCAGAGTGTGACCTTACTTCCACTGGTTAAAACATGTAACATTCTAATATACAAAAGTCCAGAAGAACAACCTATTGCTTCCTGTGGGTCTATTTTATCAGAAAGTAAACCCTATCCAGAAACTCCTAGGAGACTTTTGCTCATGTCTCATTGATGGGACAGGATTCCCATTGCCGCAGCAAAGAAGATGAGACTAGAATAGCTGATAGTAACTGCCCAGGACTGATGCCTGAGTCCCCATGGATTGAGAGAGGTGAATCAAAGTGGGCCAAAGTGAATCAAAGGAAAGGGGGAATGGCGGATGGGCCAATCAGCCATTATGATAACCTGAAGCAGGGAGAAGGGTATGGAAGAGAAGACAGAGATGGAGGGAGGTGACTACACAAACCCTGGAATCATAGTGCAAGGACAAGGATTGATGACTGCCAAGAGGAGTTACTGTGCCTCAGGCATGTAGAGCAAGGAGCCAGAGTGGGTAGGAGGCTGCAGAGTTGGGAGCCAGACTCTCCAGCTCACATGTGAGCTGTCCCTCCAGCAGGAAAGGGGTCCTCTCTGTTTTCATAAGTGGAGGAGAGGTGAGTAGTTAGCCCCAGGTCCCTCCAGCCTTGCAGGGGAGAGATTCAGGTATCCCTCAAGACTGCAGAGCAGAGCCACTGCTCTAGATCTATATAGAGAAGACGAGTTGTGCTTCTTCAATCCATTCACACAACACTTCTGGTATCCACATGTGTGAGTTTTTTCCCCACACCAAGCAACTCAACTCTAATTCTCTGCAGACATCAAATGAGTGTCCCCACAATTCTGACCCAATCTATAAAGTTAGCATCTGAACCCACAGGTTGAAGGCTCTGTCCCACAAGGCTGCCCCCATTTCAGATGATAGTCTTAAGTCAGGTTAGAGGTTGTCATCTGTGCTTCTGATCAACTTGCTATAAGTCAGCAGGTTCCCATGATCCTCTCCTTGGCTCAATCATTTACTAGAATGGCTCACAGAAGGCAGGGAAACACTTTATTTAATATTAACTCGTTTCTTATAAAAGATATTGTATAAGAAATTATATAGGGCAAGTATATGGGAAGTTACAGGAGCTTCCATGTCCCCCACAAGGCCATCCACCCTCCAGGTACCCCCATTTTTTTCAGCAGCTGGAAGCTCTTGAAATCCTGTCCCTGTGTGGTGTTTTGGAAACTTTATTACATAGACATGATTGATTACATCATTGGCCATTGGTGATCAACTCAACCTTTAGCCCCTCTCTCTTCCCCACAGTTTGGAGGTGGGGCTGAAAATTCAAGTTTTTTAATCCTGTGGTTGGTTCCCCTGGCAACCAAACTACATTCTCTGGCCAGTAGTTACCTCATTAGTGCACAAAAAGACACTTATCCCTCCAGAGATGCCTTGGGTTTGAGGAGCTATATTCCATGAAAGGCAAGGGAGTGAGGGACTGACCATAAAAATTATGTTAGTTAGCTTTCCATTATTGTGACAAAATACCTGAGACAATCTATTTATAAGGAGGAAAAATTTATTTTGGCTCACAGTTTCAGAGGTTTCAGTCCTGGTTGGTTGTTTCCACTGCCTTTGGGCCTGTGGCAAAGCAGAACATCATGGTGGGAAGCATATGGTAGAGCAAAGTTGCTCATCTCATGGTGGCCAGGAAACAAAGAGACAGAAAGAGTCTTGGATTCCCACATCCTCTTCAAGGACATGTGTCCAGTGATCTAACTTCCTTTCACTAGGCCTCACTTTCCTACGTTTCCACCAGCTTCCAGTACCATCAGGTTGGAGGCCCAAGCCTTCAACACAAGGGCCTTTGGGGAACATTCCAGGTCCAAACTATATTAGACCAAATACATATTTCTTATTATATTACAATATCACAGCATCGTCATGTAGGAGAGTGAAGGCTAATCCAGACAAACTCTTAATTTTCCTTGACACACAAGCTTTCACGATGACCTGGAAGCCTCAATCAATTGCAGAGTCTCCACAGGTATGCACGTGAGACCCTGGAGAGAGACCCATGAGGGTGTTTGACATGCTGCATGGTCTAAAACAGGCACAGGCTTTGAGTAGGCATGTCCCCTGGACCCATAGACCCCTCATCCATGGGGAACAGTACAGCTACAGGGAAGCCCCCAAACAGGGGCTCCTCTTGAGCTCTGAGAGTGGCCCTGGCCTCCACACAGTGAGTGAAAATAGGATACAGGTAATGAAGGGAGGGAGGACTTTAGAAAGAAACCCTGAGCTCTGGTTTCCGTCAGAAGGATGGTGCCCCCTTCACCACAATGAGCCTTCCAGGGAAATAGGTGGACATGCATTCTTTTCATATTAATTTGTGGTCATTGCATTTTTTAAATGTTTTTAGTTGCCAATGGATATTTTATTTTATTTGTTTATTCATATGTGGTGCTGAGGATTGAACCCAGGGCCTCATACATGCTAGGCAAGCGCTCTACCACTGAGCCACAACCCCAGTCCCAGGGGTCATTGTAAGTATTTTTTAAGTGGCATAACATTGCATTGTGTAGAAGGTGTCACATAAGATACCAATTACCCCTCTGACCCTCTGTGTTAGTCAGCTTTCCATTACTCTAGCAAACACCATAAACAATCAACTTTTAAAAAGAAAAATGTTTTTTGACTCATAGTTTTATAGGTTTTAGTCCATTATTGGTTGGTCCTGTTGTTTGGGGCTGATGGTGGCACATCATGCAGGTGCATGCGGTGGAGCAAAGCTGCTCACCTCATGGTCAGAAAGCTAAAAACAGAAAGAAAGAGACAGGGATTAAAAACAATTTTCTTTGAAGGTACAACCCCAATAATCCAAAGACCTCCCACTAGGCTCCACTTAAAAGTTCTACCAATGGCACCAACATAGGGACCAAACCTTCGACATATGAGCCTTTGGGGATCATTTAAGATCCAAACTATAGCACTCTCCACCTGCAGTCATTCTAATGTGTGGAACATGCTATTTGGAGGCCTGAAAAGAAGAGGAATGTGGTAGTGAGCTGGGGAGAAGGATTGCTCCAAGAAGAACCCTTGACTGGTTTGAGGTGTGTGTTTTTTTGTGGGTTTTTCTCTTAGTTTGTGAGAGGTTGAGCATGCCTGGGGCTCACAGGAAGCAGTCAGTGGCTTGAGAGAGCATTCTTGCTGTTTTTGCTCATGTGTGAAAGCTGCACTTCTAGAGGTTAAACCTCTGGGTGGCCGGAAGCCCTGACTGAGCTCAGGGGCTCCTTTCCTCCTTCAGCTGAATTGGCTCAGGCTGAGGTCAGTCATCAACAGGAAGGGAAAGGGAGTGCTAGAGCCCAGGGATGGCCCTGCCTCACTGGTCAGCCTGTCGTCAGTCCTCAAAAACCCACTCTGGGCCTCAGGACCCAGGCTCCTTCACACAGAGAATGCTGAACTCAAGGACCCTGTCATCATAGGGGTGGTGAGAGCTGGCAGTGACAATCAGAGACAAAAGGACCAGGCTCTGGGTGAAGTCAGAACCTGATTCCTGGCTGACCTCAGAAGGAGCCCATCTGGAGCCCTGTTGATGCCTCCTTCAGGGTATTGAAATCATGTTTTCTCATCCTCATGGATCCCTCAGCTCACCAACTGGCTCTTGCTGTGTGGGGTCAAGGCAAGGATGCAGAGTCCTGGCCTGGAGGAAGGCAGCAGGGCACACCCGTCCGGCAGCCACCCACCATCTGAAGTCACGTGCTTGCCCGCCAGGCGGAGGCCCACAATATGGCTTTGTGCAGCAGCTGGCTTCAGGCACAAGTGAGTGTCTGGGGTAGCCCTGCATGGCCAGCGTGCCAGCCCTGGAAGACAGAGATGTCAGGCTGGGGAGGGAGGATGTGTCCTGTCCACCTGCTCCAGGGCCCACAGCCAGAACTCTTCAGGAAACACCTGGGTTGGCCAGTTTGCTTCAGGGGACACCTAGGAGTTTGGGGTGTGGGTAACTTCCAGAAGAGTCCTGGCCATCAGCCCTATCACAAGCAGGGCCTGAAGAGTGCCCAGCAATCACCCTGCCACTTAGCTGGACCAAATGAGATTGCCTTTGGGATTCTTGCAGAGCTCTCAGGTCTCGAATGAAATGAGAAAAAAAAAAAAAAAAAAAAAGAGAGAGAACAGCTTTATCAAATTTTATGATGCTGAATATTTCAACTTTTTTATGAGATTATTTTAACGTTAAAACTTCCTTTTTACATGAAGCAGTAATAGCAGACAGAGGTTGTTTTGTGACAACATCCTCCATTGGCAAAATAAAATGTTGACAACTCTATTTTCATCCCTTAAAAAAAGTTCACAAAGCCCCCCAAGATTGACTCCATAGCATTGGCTGGGCCAGCTGGGACACCCTATGAGAGCAATTGGGCAGTTGGTGGAGCAATTGGTGGGCAGTTGCAAGGGGAGGGTAGGGGGGTTCAGAGACCTCTGGGTGTGAGATGCCCCAGAGTTTTAAGGAGCTACATGGATGGAGGTTGGGGTCGGGAGCTCCCCTGAACATACACCTCTGGTCAGTCCTGTGCAGCTCCCTTCCAGCCCACAGGTACCAGGAGTGGGCAGAGTCTGGGATCCTGGGATCCAGCCTAACTCTCAGGAACACTGTGTGCAACCCTGGGCAGGAGGCCCCTCCTCATTTCTTCCCCTGGCAGACGAGGGTGGTGTTAGTGGTTTCTCTGCATCTTCCCATTTTGCAGCGGTCGGAGTATTGTCTTCAAACAGAGCATACAGAAGGAAGGAACAGGCTTCTTGCCTGAGTAATTTGGCAGGATCTGAGAAAAACAGCCATTCTTTGGCCACAGGGACTGTCCCTTGCCTCATGGGGGCATCCACTTGTGTGGGCAGGAGGGGACAGCCTATCCACCATGGCAGCCCAGCTGCAGGATCCTATCCCTCTGGGACTCTGCAGTTATATAGGTCCATAGGTCCATAGGACCTTAACATGGCCAAACCTACCCAGAGATCTTATTAGGATTGATATGTTCCTTAGAAGATGAGGCCACCTGGTCTAGCAGGAAAGTTGCTTCTCATTCATGGACATGTTTAAATAACAAGGGGAATGTCTGTTTGGATTCATCTTTTTGAATAACACAGTACTGTGTCAAACTCAATTTAAGAAGAAACACCCCAGATATTTTTAACTCCTTTTTGCATTGTATTTGCATGGAGGATTTCCCCCCACCCTTGGTACAAAGGATTAAACCCAGGGGTGCTTTACCACTGAGCTACATCGCCAACCCTTTTAATTTTTTATTTTAAGATAGAGTCTCGCTGAGTTGTTGAGTCTGACCTGGAACTTGCAATCCTCCTACCTCAGCCTCCCAAGTTGCTGGGATTATAGGCATGTGCCATTGCACCCATCTGCATGAAGGTCTTTAAAAATGCAAAGTCCCTTTTTACCTGGGACTGAGCCTCACAAGGTTTTTGACCTATTTCAGTACTATGTATAATAAGATATACCTGATTGATAAGGTTGCTTTTCCCAGACCAGTATAGAAAGGCTCCAGTCCTGAGTGGCTCCCTGTTCTGGAAACAACGGTAGTAACAACTCTGTTCAGGGAGAAATAAGTGAAAAGATGCCCTGGGCTTGGCACACCCTTCTGTGTTGGAGGCCATGATCCCTATGCTGGGACCCCCAAGCCCTATCTGGCCTCAGTGAAGTTCTTGGTCTAATAGAAGGCCCAGTGGGCAAACAGAAACAGCAGTAAATAATCGCATAGTGCCCAGGTTGCAGGGAGAATGTGTGGGTGGAGCAGTCACTCAGAGCAGAAAAAGGATAGACAGGTGTATGAGCCTGGGAAGGCATCCAATCAGGCCAGGGAGCAGCATGCATGAAGGCCGTGAGGAATGTGCATGCTACAAAGCCCAGTGTGCAGTTTGACTGGGAGGGTCACCTGGCTATGAGTCCAAATCACTGAGCTGCCAAGTCTGAAGAGCAAAATTCTCCAGCCCTTCTCTGGAGAGGGGAAGTCATGGCTATAGCCAGATATCGCTGGTAGATCACCTGGAGACCCAGGGTAAGGGGGTGTGAAGTGGCAGGTTATAAATGACTGGAAGAAGTTCAAATCACCTCTCTGAGCCAGTTTCTCCAGATAGTGCCAGGTGTCAAGGGGACAGAGGGGCAGCATTAGGACAGGCTCCAGAGAACTGTGTGCCCCGGGATGGCTGTAGCCCTTTCAGCTGCTGGGTGGTGTGTGGGGGGGTGGGGGGTCCTTGCTGAGCCCTGGCCCAAAGGGGAGATGGAGTTGAGAGTGGAGTTCACTCATTGACTGCAAACTGGTCACCATTCTTGTATTATGCTGTAGGAGATTGTTCATCTCTTCTTACCCCTCTGTCCTTACCTGGGCACCTTATTTCTGGGACTTGTTGCTATGGGGTTCCAGAGCTTTCTCTGTCAATGAGTTGAGGAAACTCTGGTATCATATTCCTTCTAAAACACCATCTTTCTAATCAGAATCAGAATGATCTGTAAATTTGATGCCATTAGAACTCAGATGAGAGTTGGGGGTGATAGGAAGGGGGAAGAGACTGTGGAAAAATAGATAAAATTCTCCTACACCAGCTGGACCTGCAGAGCTGTGAGCTTATGAGCATCTAACTGAGCTGGGGTCCAAGTTCACCCTCTCCAATCTCAGATAGGGGCACTGAGGCCTGAAGAGATCTCACAATTGTCCCCAAACCTTAAAATGCCTATAGAAACACACTGAAAGACAGCATGTAAGCTGAAAGAAATGTAATCTTTAACCATTTCAATCAGAAATAGAGTCTGACAACTAAATGACAGATGCTTAATTTCTCACACTATTTCTTTCACTATGGTGGAGTAGATATTATTGGTTTGTTCAAAAACAGGGGATTTTGTTTTTGGAAGGGAAGTGGTTGTATAGCATAAATGAGACCACATCTCAAACAAGAATCTGGGGTAACCCTGGGCCCCTAAACCAAGAGGACTCACCCTGCTCATCTGGCCTCCTCATCTGATCCAAGAGTGAGATTGTGCCAACAGTCCAGAAGCCCAAGCCTTGCCCAGGTCTACCTGGCTGGAGGAGCAGCTTCAGGTATCTAGGTGAGGTGACCTCAGGCTCCTCTGAAGCCTTACTCTCTTCTCCTTACCCCCACTTTCCACAGGAGATAATCATCTGTACATACAGTTTGGATCTGGATGTTCCCTAAAGACTCATGTGTTGAAGGTTTGGACCCCAGTGCAGCAATCTTCAGAGGTGGAGTTTTTGAGAAGTGATCAAATCATGAGGGCTTGACCTCATCAGTAGACTAATCTATTGATGATTCACAGCTAGCTGAATGGATTATTGGGAGGTGGTAGGAACTATAGGAGGCAGGACCTAGTTGGAGGGAGTGAGCCCTTGGGGACTGTATCTTGTCCCTAGCTTTTCCCCCTGTTCTTTTACTATGCTTTTCAGCAACCATGAGGTGAGCAACTCTGCTCCACCATGGCCTCTCTGCCATGTTACTTTGTCTCACCACAGACCATAGCAATGAAGCCAGCCAATCAAGGATGGAAAACCTCTGAAACTGTAAACCAAAATAAATCTTTTCTCCTTGATGTTGTTTTTCTCTGGTATTTTGTCATAGCAATGGAAAACTAATTAACACATTATTCCTATCAAGATTAGAGAATGAGGGCTAGCAGGAATGTCTGTGAAAGGTGCTAAGAACATAAATTCATATCATGAGGGTCTCAGACTTTTCTCCAGCTGTCCCTACCAATAAATGAGAATAAATAAGCCCAATAGGGTATCATGTGAT